AGATCTACAACTTCATCAACGGACTGGAAATAATTCACCTGATAGGCAAGTCGGGTGCCACCGTTTATACCATAATATTATATTATTATGTATACATTAATATTAAGTATAAAATCACCCCTGCAGGTACATACGAAAAAGTTGAAGAGGAAGAGGAAGAGATTTACGAAGTGATAAACGTGCACAAACTCAAATCAGCGACGCCGAACTTAAGAGTCATCAATTTGTACGGGATAAACTTCATCGACGACAGTCATATAGACGCGTTCAGCTCCAATTGTATACAACTTGAGTGTTTGGCCGTGAACTATTGTTCCAAGGTCACGGGATCTACAATGAAAACGTTATTTCAGAGAAGTAAAAGGCTCAGATGTCTTTTAATGAATCAAACGAGTAATTAAAATATTATACTTGTACGGCACAGTAACGCACAATTATAATTCTTTTAACGAATGCAATTTACTTTAGATCTCATCAGCGAGTATTTAATGCAAGTAGAATGGGAAAAATCTTCGGTTCAAGAATTAGACATATCTGGGACCGATCTCTCTACCGAATGTCTAATTGATATGTTAATTCGGATACCGAATTTGAAGTTTCTGAGCGCAGGCCAGTTGAACGGATTTAACGACACTGTGTTAAGTTCGTTCATGGAACAGGGTAACGTCAGGAGCCTGATCGCACTAAACTTGGACTATTCGGACAATTTGTCGGACGAAGGACTTTATAAATTTTTGTCCCGTTATGGACATCAGCTACAGGGGCTTTCTTTGGCCGGCATGCCACATATTACCGATCAACTGTGGAACACAGTCCTACCGGTTCTCAACAATGTCATGTAAATATATTATATCATTCACGTAAAGTATTTATTCAAATTTCAAATGCTTAATATAATCATAATAAAATAAAATGCAACGCATTTGGATAAAATATTACCATATAAATATTTTATAAATTATCGAGTTAATGACTAATAACTTATTAGTAGTACCTCACGGGAAAAATATTTCAAAAATACAAAAACTCGAAAGATGAAAAAATAATATAAGTTCGTAAATATGATTTATTACAGAATTATGGTTATGGGCACTCAAGAGAGGCTATCTGGTAACGTGCTAGTAGATCAACTTATGGACGGTATAGCTACAAATTGTCCGAGATTAGAAAGACTCGAATTGAAATGGGATCCGGATAATTTAAGATTTTCTGATAAAAGTCAAAAAGCGATTGATATTTTCCGAGTGAAATGTTTGAAACTCAAATGTTTGGTTTTAAGGTAACGTGCAACAACAATATAATTTTGTGCAATCAAAACAAATTATTTTTTATTTTTAAACACGAATGTACGTTTTTTGTACTTATGTTTGTTTTCTTTTTAAGCGATGGAAGGTATTACGAAATAGTGAAAGCCAACTTCGAAAGAGCAGATAGACTAACGGTGGTTAGAACCACTACATGTTGCAGTGTCTCCAATTATTACCTACTACAAAATTACAAAGATTTAATATTTAATTGATTCCAGATCATTTAATTTTAATTTATAAAATTAATTAAGTTATCAAAATGTAAATAATTTTGTTTCCGACGGTTTATAATATTATTATAGTGTCAACCATATATAGTCTAAGCACCTAAAATAATAATAAAATATATACATATTTTCGACCTTCGTAATTACGCAAGAGAAAGTGAATACACATTACTTTCACTTCCCCCAAGAAACAAGTTTAGGAGAAAGTATAGTTTAAAAGAAGAAAACGTTTAGGTACATACTGATGAAATTCAATTGAGTCGAATCGCACAGCACAACTGGACTACATCGTAGTTCGCTTACTTAAAAAAAAAATTAAAGTTTATTTCACATATAGTATACAAATTTTCAAAGATGTATATAAAGTACGAAAATCTTGAGGATAAATTCGCTAAGAGACTGGACGATTTGTTCGGCGTTAAAGACTGTCTGATCGAAGTCAACCCAGGCAAATGTATACTTCCGCCCAAGTACAAGGATTTGGGCCAGAGAATTAAAAACATGGAGGTCAGACCTGATGATGTATGGCTTGTGTCGTATCCAAGAACAGGTAATAATTTTATTAATTTACTTCCGGATGCTTAATAAGATGTGAGCAACGATTTACGATACTGCATTTTCAAACGATAGTGCAGAGTTGTTTTTGCGCATGACTAATACTTTAACATCGACTAAAACTCTTTTATCTCTGTTAAATTTATAGGAAGTACTTGGGCTCAAGAAATGGTTTGGTGTATTTGCAATGACTTGGATTTCGTTAAAGCCAAGAGCATGATTGGACAACTAAGGACACCGTTATTAGAGTGAGAGACACCTTCAACACATTTTACGTATTCTAGCATACTATGCATATATTTTACTATAAAACAAACTTTTCATTGGCGTCCATCAGTATATATATATATATTAATATATAATTATAAATACTGAAATAATATCTACAATTCTTAATGATCGTATTATATAAAATATTTCTCATAATTATTTACCTTACAGTTTATAGTATAAAAAAACGATTTAACTACAGCACTACGTACTGATTAATTATAATGTCTAAGCTTAAAGTTAAACATTGTTGTTGATCTATTATTATAAAATATAATAAAAATGTATAAAACATATTATGACTGACATTAAATTGACTTAAAATAAAGTATTTTTTTAACAATTCAAATCAACTAAAATTGAAAAACCAAAATTTTTTAATTTTTTTTTGTGGAGATAAATAATTAAATATATTTATTTATATATCCATATATGACATAATCTATTTAATTAAAAATAATGAAGAAATGCAATTGGCCAAGTTATAAAATATGCCTCCCTATTTTAACGTGAAAAATAATAGTGCACTAAAATAATTAATGACATAAAATTGATTGGTTTGGCGTGTTAGTCACAAACCTACCTTTATAAGTTGAACCGGTCCAATCCGACTTAACGATCCTAATGACAGTATTCCCGTATTCTATACGCCGGGTATTGATACGTTTGTCGTAATCTATTACAGTATGGAATAATTTATATTATTATGCATTGATTCAATATATTAATATATTATTTAGGTTGACAGCACTTATGGGCAACGACACGAGCAAACTGAAAGACGAACTAGGCAATTCGGTAGAACAAGTGGAGAACATGCCATCGCCCAGGTTCATAAAAACACATTTGCCAGTCCCGTTGTTACCCGAACAGTTGGAGAACGTGAAACCAAAAATCGTCTACGTGACACGCAACCCAAAAGACATGTGTGTGTCTTATTATCACTATTGCAAACTAATACACGGCTTACACGGATCGTTTGAAGAGTTTTGCGATCTCTTCATACAGGGAAAGACGCCGATTGGCCCCATTTGGGATCACATTCTGGGTTTCTGGGAACAAAAAGACGAACCCAACGTGCTGTTCATCAAATACGAGGACATGAAAAAGGTAAGCGAGAATCGTGGTCGCAGTTGTCTGTAGTAGATGACCGTTGTCGTGGTAAGATAACTCTATGCTTACCTACTATGCAGTCTCAAGCGGAGCTTACTACTGTACTTACATAATATGTTATGTTCGAAATGTAAAAATGAGCCTGATTTGATAAAAATGTGTGTTTCGACTCTCGAGACGTCTAGATTTAAAATCTAAAAATATTTAATGCATAATATTTGCGGGGTTTTATTTTCAAGGAATATTGTAAAGGTTCTTATTGGTTTTATTGCATAAAGAATTTAACTTTTTTTTTAAAATCCAAATTCAACATTTTTAATCTTTGTGTACAAATATTGCAAAATGTTGATGATTTTTATATAACACCAAGAAAACCAATGAAAGTTTGTTCATTTTGTTAAAAAAGTATTTTTCCTTTAAAGTATTTAAAATATTAAGAAGTTATAAAATATTTAATTTCTAACAAGAATATTTTTTTAGATTTCTCCAGTATAATAAAATTTAAATAGAAAAAAAAAAATCGAAATTTAAACATACGTCACTACTGTCTGCATTCATTATAAATTATGCATGTTTAGTAGCATACTACCACTCTTTCAGGCACATTATCTTTGAATTTTATTTAGAAAATGTTATTTTTTTTTTATCCCAATTATAAGAGGTATTAAAAATATATAATAATAGTTATGGCTTGGTTGTACAATATTACAGGACCTGAAAGGAGCCATCAGACAAGTATCAGCTTTTCTGGACAAACACTTGACCGATGAACAGGTCTCCGCTCTCGAAGATCATTTGAGCTTCAACAGCATGAAGAAGAACCCGGCTTTGAATTTAGAACCAATCCTTGCTATGATGGAAAAAGAACCATCGAAAGAGACGAATCCCGACGAAACATTTATAAGGAAGGGAAAAGTTGGTGACTGGAAAAACTACATGTCGGAAGAGCTATCGGCTAAATTTGACAAATTCACAGAGGAAAATTTGAAAGGGACTGACCTCGCTTTTGAAACATATTGATATCATTGACACTATTTATATTTTAAATTTGTATAAAAATATCAACCTTAGTATTATTTTTATCACTCTTAGTTTATAAGTATCCAGATAATAAGAACTACGTATTAACATCTAAAAAACGTTGTATGTACAAATTATATTATTAAATAACATTTCTTTCATGCTATTTTTAAAAAATTGTATTTCCAAAAAAAAAAATATTATTGATCCTTTTAGAATCTAAGACCATACAGTTTTTCTGAATTTAGATCTATCCACTTAAAACAAAATGAACTAAATGAAAAAGAAAATATAACATTTTGTAGTTAACCTGAGAGTGACTGCTTTCTTCAAACATTTACAGGCATCATTTTTATGCTATAAATTATATTTATCATATTTAATCATTTTAATGTTAATACGTTTCTTGTATTACAGCCTTATAAGTTATAGGTTTAGAGATTTTATATCATAAATATATTTTTTTTTTTCAATCAGTTTTTAATAAAATATAATAAATTATAATCGATTAAAATAATGAAATGTATAAAAATTATATTTATCTAATAAACAGCTAAACACTGTCATATTAGTATATTCTTATTCTAATATCAAGTAGTTAAAATGTATAGATATTAACAAAATTCATAAGTCTTACTTATAAATGTTTTAGTATTAGTAAACATTTTAAACATTTTATGTTTTTATTTAATATTAATGAACTATGATAATAATTTATTGGTATTATAGCGAGTTCCGCATGATGTGATAACTTGATAACTGATAGGTGATGAAAGTGGTGCGGGTAAGGTTGTGCTGTTAACTGGTTGATTCCATGAAACATATTTTTTGTAATTATTCATTATTATGATACTTAAAAAAGTAACAAAATTAAATCACATTGTACGTATACGGTACCTACCTAATTGAAACAGTTTACTATAAAGAAAATAAACTTTCAATAATAAATTGCATTTGACCATTATGTAATTATTTTTCTATACTATCCTAAAATTAAATAAATTTGTTATTGAGAATAAATGTTAAAAATAAATATGATTTTATGATATTATAATGAGCTTTGATTTTGACTATCTGTATATTTAAAATCATAAAAATGATTCAAATATCTAATAAAAGATCAATTTAACTTTATAAAGATATAACTCACAGCTAGGTAACCAAATAGGTTTAGGTTTTTTAATTTTTGATTTCAATAAACGATTTATTCTATGAATAAGTGATCACATTATGTGAAACTTACTGTATGGGTATCTATAAAATAATTCACCGAACGTATACAAAGCTTAGTAACCAATAAATAAATAAATAAATATACCATTAGTTTTGTAATTAAATTCTCATTAAACACCTAACACCATAGGCACTTGTTTACTAGGTACTTAATTAATTTCATTAAAACTTTAATCCACTTTTTCCTAAACATTTCTCTTCCCATTCGTCAAAAATGTTTACAAACTCTGGTGACATTTTTTGTTTTCCTCCTCCCACTGTACCACTTCTCATAAAAGTTCCATCAGCTTCAATTAATTTGTGAGTTTTATTAATCTCAATAACTGGCTCGTAATTCACAGCTCTGTTGTTCTTCATGCTTTCGAAACTTAAATGATCTTCCAAAACTAAAACTTGATCGTCAAGCAAATCTTTGCCTAAAAACTCAGCTGTTCGACGAATTACCGCACGTAGGTCCTATTCAAACAAATTAAAAATGTTGTTAAAATAGTGTCATAAGTCACTAGTGAATAGTATTTAAGTGTGTAAGTGGTATATAAAGGTGTACTATATGGGTGATGTGTACCATAATGTCCAATCTTTGACGAATGGTAAGTTTAACTACGACTTTCGGGTAATGACATGCAGTCTTTCGGGATTCAGTGTCCAATGATTAACATTATTCAAATACACTTGGCTAATGATCGATAAGTTATAAAATAGGTAAATATAATTACAAATATTTGCGAACAGTATGTTGTTTAATTTTAAATCTGATAAATCAAAAAAGATTAATTTAACTCGATACCTGCAAACTGCAGTAGGGTTTGTTACGTCATACTACCACAGGATCGCACAAGACAGCTATTCATAAATGCTTTAATTGTAAATTTGTATACATTATTTAATTGTATAATTAAAATTATATTATCGCCAAAAATCTGATGTTTTAGAAGTAGTACGTAGTACGTTTAAAAAGGGAAAGCCAATTTGGACCAATCAATAAATACGACTGATTATAATATAATCCAATTCGACCAAAATAAATGGTAAATTTAAACATCCACTATTATTGTATATGTTTAGAATTTATGTAACTGATAGTTAGCCCAAAACATAATTTATTTTAAATTATAATATAAGACTTAAACAAAATTGTAATATAATATCATCGTATTGTTATTGTTCAACTGTACCTAAAGTCTAATTTTTAAAGGTTTAATATTATTTACCGTACATATAATATTGATAAAACTTTTTTTATATTTTTGATCACATTACATTTAATAATTCTAATATTATTTCTTTTTAAATTTTAAGATGTCTTTTCTTTCTCCTTTTGTTAAATAATTGCAGTATACTCCAATGTATGGATTCTTTTTTATTTAAATTATAACTTATTGACTCAACTCATTCGCATACAAGCTGATTGCTTATTTGGTTAAGTTGCAACTTTTTAAATTTCTGTATTACTATTCCTAATTGTGTATTTTATTTTTATTTTGCAACAAATTAAACCTATTATTATTTTTAAATTATCATGTCCTAAATTGAAAAATAAATATAATATGATAAAATGGTGAACTATAAATATTTAAAATGTAACCATTACTTGTAAAAGATTGCTAAATTGTATATTGTTATTTGATCATTAGACAATACTCGTGGTTAAATTTTGCTAAGTGCTAACCCTAACATTAGCCAAGGGTCGGACATTATCTATAACACATGTATATGAACAAATCAAAATAATACGTATGATAAATTACCTGTTTCATGTCTTCGTACTTCAAGAAAAGTACTTGCGAATCGTCTCTTCGGTTCCAGTAGCCAAGAATGTGATCAAAAAATGGGCTAAAACAGACTTAATTGCACAAGTTGTTAGTGTACGTTGTTTTACACTTGACATTACATTTCTTTTACTGTGCAAATTTACTCACGGGAATCAGAGGTAAACAATTTACAAAAATCTTCAAAATTTCCTGTATATCCCTCTAACAAACAACAATGGTGAAAATATGAAAGGCAAGTGTCTTTTGGGTTTCTGGCCACGTAAACGATCTGAAATTTCGTATTTAATATTATTTGATTATGATAATGAAATGGTTAAATTGTATATACTATATAATGTGTTTCATATAAGCTACATTAGATTATGGTAATTTTTAAACGGTTTAGTAAAACAAAGTTAATTATAATCACCAAATTAAATAGTGAATACACTTGTATGGAGTTATTCAAGCCCAAGATCTTTGACCAGCAAAATTGACACGTATAGGTACAAAACTACGGTACCAATAAAGGACTCATAATATATCATGGGACGATCTTCAAGAGCTTATTAAGAAAAAATCTAAAATGTGACTACAAGGACGGAGAATTTAGTGTGACAAATATAAACATATTATCATAATATATTTTAGTAGAGACTATAGTAAACATTTGAGTGCAACTTAATTACTAACTAAGTTCTTACCAAGAGAGTCAGCAATATAAGTACGCCATAATCAATGTGTGAATCTATAACGGTCTCAGTAGTAGATAACTTCCTCATTACTTCACGTCTTCACTAACGTATCTTTAAATTGTATACCAACTTATTTTAATAGATACTTACTGTATCACATTTTTGTACAGATTGTTTTGTATTACATTAAAAAAAAAAAATACCAAAACTCTATGCTTATTAAGCGAAATAGTTGTGTAATAATCAACGTATGATATTTAGTAATAATTTTTAATATTTTAAAATCTTGTTTAATAAGTGATATTACCAGAAAAAAAAAAATTGTAAACAAAATTCTGGGTGACTGTCATAATTTACATTGAATCTTTGAAAGGAATCCTTGGATTTTAATATTGACTGAAAAATATTGTGCAATTTATAATATTCGATGATAAATATACGGAAAAAAAATCACAGAACCAAACCTTCAAAACGGATAAACCATTAAACCCAAATATAAGAACATCATTCACAATACCTAGTATACCTAATATTTGGCTTAATTAACTTTTATTTAAATAACAACTAATTTCAAATGTAAATTTCTGCTCTAAAATCTAAACTGTGTGTTTTTATCAATACAAAATAACGGGTCGAGGCTTACAGTATCATATTTTTTGTTACCTACCCATATAATTTTTAACGAAACTATGTAACCAACTGCCAATTAAATAACATAATATATACTTATTAGTAAATAATAATATTATTAATGAAAGATAATTGACTAATGACTATACTATAATATACCTATTTAAATTATTCAAATCTTCCATATTATTATTTAATACAACTATAAGGTATATTGATTGCGTTCATGTGAGTTTCAAAAAAAAGTATGGAATAACATGTAATATATTATATAAATATTATGCAACATTGAAGTATTTATGTAGTATTTGTCGAAAAAAAAATGATCTGAAATGATATGAAAAAACTCTAGAAGTTAGGTCTTACTTTTGCTTTGGTACTTTGATCTCTAAGTTTTTTTGGCAGAAGTTTGTAAGGCAAATGAGTCTTGATAAATCTCGGAGATTTTAATCCATTTATGAACTCGATCGAATCGGACACATACAACGGCAGCTTGAGGTCTGGTTTTTCTGGCAGCACTTTTTCATAGTCAAATAGTGGTGTGTGGCTAAAATTTAATCAATAATTTCAATCGTTATATAAAAATATGCTTTCTTCTATATCAGAGATGGCGAACCTATGACATGCGTGTCACGGAGTGACACTCTTACGCTCTTTTAGTAATACACTCAACTTGTATTTTTATTATTCTAGCTTTGGATGTAGGAATTTGTATAGGTCTACAAAAATGGTCATTACGTTATTTGACAAAATAAAATCCTACCAATATTTTTTTTGACACTTAAGTATAGAAAGGTTCACCATCCCTGTTCTATAAAGTGACAGATACGTAGTATATATTTACTCTAAAAACGGAAATCTTTCGGGCAGAAATTGTTTGGCACCTTCGAAATCTAAATCGTTTGCAATACACCACGTCATCTCCTGACACCACGTGGTTCCTAAAACACAATAGGTTTCTTTTTTTATACGTTCGGTTGTAGTCACGAAAAACAAAAGCCTCCAAGCAATATGATATGACAACAAAAGAAGAATACCACTTTCTTTTTTATTATTATTGATTAACGGTATGACATGATATTCGCTTGTCAATCATCGCCTCGCTACATCTATGACCTCCTATTCAACAGTTCTATACTTATATACATATAAAATATATATTAAAGTAATAATACTACATAATATAATGGCGTAGGTATAATTATGTTAAATTAAAAACACATAAATAACAATGTTTTTCAAACCAATAACACGTTATCGTGACGGCGGGTATCGTATATATCTATACATTATTATTTTGATTTTTTTTCCGGAAAACGTGTCCAATATTATAATAAATGGGTCGTAAATGTAATTGCCTTGTTTTAAATACTTGTTGGGTACTTTGTAATTTGTTTCTGTTACAATGCCTTTTAAAATGTGAAGATATTATAATGCCGGTGTCAAGTATTCGTCTCGCTTCGATCATCCCGAAAATTTTTTTTGAATAGGTCGTATATTACGTGTAGTGTATACTGTATATATATATTCATGATATGTGTTAGTATAAACGTTAATGGTTTTTTGTTTATTTAAAAAAATTTTAAACGATTATTTATCGCATGTTCACATTCCTAAAATACAATGCATTTTAAATAAAGATAAATAATTTTAATATTTATTATGTGTTTTAATTATTATTTAATTTATTTTTGTATTTAATCTATAACCAATACAACTTGGTACTGTAGAATATTTCTGAAAATATTATTTCTTTTTCAACATTTTTTATAACTTATACAGTATACACTACATTCACTAATTATCATTTATAGTATTTAAAGTAAGTATTTCGTATGCTATTTCAATCGATTGACCTTATTTCATGTTTTAGAATTATAACGAAAATAATTAGGTACCTATAGTGATGATTTTTTAATAAAGATCTATCGCCTAAGGGTCTTTCTTTCTGTTTGGTGAAAATAATAGAACAAATTATCAAAATTTACAATAGAAGAATAATATTGATGAATGTGTTTCAATAACGAATCTACTAGTCTAACCTGAATCGCGCATGCTTAAGATAGATGAAAACAATAGAAAATATAAATAATTGTACAATATACGTTGTACATGTTTAGAAGTTGTCTGCTCGAATCATGTTCATATTATATTATTATAATAATCGAATCAAAATCAAGTTCATTTATTTGGTTTTAAACTTATGTTCATTGTCTTCTGTAGATTATTATAGTTTGGTCAAAATCATTAAGTATTCTTAAATGACAACAGTAGGTACTATTAACAATTTGATAAATATATTTAAACAATACAAAAAATACTTGCATTTTTAATTATTATTATGCAGTGCTATATAATCAAGTCGATACCTACATTCTGACGACTTTTAAACCGTACGGAATGTGATGTCAATTAAATTGTTCATAAAAAGTCTTGTTTGATATTTTTCAACTATATCATACGTTTTTAACTGGATATTTAAATAAACTGAAACCTGTTTTTGGATAGCTGCAGACCCAAATGTCATCGTCCCTGATGTCCATATCCTGTATACGTTGTCCAAACTTCTTGAAGTACACGGGCAACACGACATCGTTAGCTTTAATGTATCCATTTCGAAAGCTGGTAACGAAACACTTATTTAGAATGTCGGAGACTTCGTTGTCCACAGTCGAATACGTTATGTCAGCCATGTTTACACGTAAAGCTGGTATGGTTATGCTCGGAGACTTGTTCAATAGAAACTCTAAAACATGAGATGATAGCTGTTTTTATACATCTCTATAGAGGCGTGCTGTGTTCTGGAGAGGGTATTCCCATTATATTATATATGTTAACAAATATTTCTACTTTGTCATTGAATGCGTTTTATAAATGCACGGCTTGTGGTGTTTATATAATATTAAATCCTTATGATTACTGCAGAGAATAGTAATTTATTTAAATTTTTTATACTTTATAGTCATCATAAGCAAATACAATTTAAATGTATGGCAACTATATAGAAGGTGGGTGTATAAAAGAGGAAAACAAAACTTTGTTGATGTATAGAAAGTTCAAAATATCATAGTCAACCATCTCGGTATGTGATGATTATACAGATTGATATAGTTGCGGCTTAAATAAAAAAAAATACACAAAAATCAAACCACACTAACGGTGTTGAATATAATATATAAGGTTCTTTTGTGGTGATTCATGGTCACCTCTTAAATGATTAATGATTACTGATCGATTTCATCAAGAATATCTTAGGAGTATAAAATTGAATACAATCGTTTTGTACATATATATATTCAATCGCATAGGATAGGACCAGCTGTAAATTCACGATTCATTGTGTTTGTGGGATGAGATGACAATCAAGGCCAATCGATAGTACTGTATTATTGACCCTATTATTTCCAAGTTTTAGAGCCTTCGAAGTTTGTACAAACCGAGGTTGAAAATATTTTGATGCCTAGTCTAATTTTTTACTAGTTTATACCAGTTACCATCACTACGGTGGATACACACAGGTGAATCAAAACGAGGCCTATACAATAATCTTACCTTGAACACTGAGCCCAAAAAAAAATTTAAATAACGTAACACATTACACAAATACAAATTTAACAACACGATAATAAACATAAAATAATATTTAGATGGCCAAATATCTTTGATTCAATAATAGGTATAGATACTCACTACTCATGTAAGTTTGGTTTTACAAACTCATGTGTATGATAGTATCACAGATATAAATACGAATTCTAACTCATAGTTTAGAGCAGTTTAGGACTTCCATATTTTTCATAACAAAAGTATTAAAAACCCATAGATGAATTTAATGGAATTGAACGATGTATTTTTGTGCCTAACTATGCATTTGCATGTAAAATTTCAAATCTCAAATCGACAATCGTCGAAATGTCCATGAGAAATTAGAAAATGTGTAATTAAAGTTTAAACACCCCTTGATAAACGAACACTGCAGAACTGCATCTTTGCATCTGTAGATACCTACAATATAATATAATATATAAAACTATAAACCTAATAACTATTTGCCTACTTACTGTACTTAAATATATATAAGTATTAAACTAACATTATACCTACACACCCTGACTGCGCGTTATGATTTGTACCTAGAGTCTTTGTAACCAGTATAATACAGTATATTGTCAAGGTTATCATTAAATTAAATTAATTTACATGATTATATCAACATTAATTTCCTAGTTTTGCAATTGTATATGGGTTACCAGCATAATGTAATTTAAAAATAATAATATATGATTAAGTAATATAATATGTAATGTGTATGACTTAAAACTTTATGTTTTATACTTTATAGAATGTATAGGTATTTAATATTATGTTTTATTATAATATTTAGTAATTATTTTAATATATTATGTAATGCACCTATATAGTTATTAGTTAAAAAACTACAATACATTTTTCATTCTTTTTTGTTCCGTATTTTGAATTCCTGAGTAGTGTTATTATTTAAGTGCACTTTACGGACAGGTTTTTCCCCCAGTTTGTTTTAATTAATCCGAATTATATTACAATAAAAATCCAAAAACAATTTAATACATGTTATGTAACATAATAATATTTTATATACCCAGCAATGAGATGAATGCTCGACACACGTTGAATTATCTGTATCTTGTTGTATATCTGTACCTTCTATTTATTTCTTCTAAATACTTGCTTTTAATCGATTTGTTGGTTATGAGTTGAAGTTATGACAAACTAAGCCTAGAACTGCTGTTGGATTAAAAAGTTGGTGCATACTAAAGTAGATGATGACTGTGCGTGCAAATATTTTAAAAAACAACTTCAACGCGATGCATCTACCTATATTTAATATTATACAGTTCGAAAACACGTTTTAAAAAGAAAACAGGTTTTTGCTATGGTACACATGCTATTAAAAAAAATATGTAATTCATGATTTATTTTATTTTTCATTAAAAATTCATTTATTTGAGCGCTTAAAATCGTTTTTATTGCCAGTCCAATTTCCAAAGTTTATAAAATACAAAACATATGAGGTTTTTGCAATGATTTAAAAATATTTTATAACACATATTACTATTTTAAACGTAAAATCTTTGCTGTTATTTCGATTTATATTATTGCAGAAGTTCAGACAGTGTGTAGCACATTTTGTACGACCCTTAGAAGTCCTCCTTGGCACAAGACGCAATAAATGTAATTATGTAACCAAATTTCATGACTTACGTAGTCGTATCAGTTATCATTGCATTCTTCTTGCACAGACACAACGCCACAGTCGTCATTTGCCACAATGATTTAGAGTGATTATTACCAAGCATGAGCACCCTACTTTTTCGATTTCAAAATGAATTCATCCAAATTCTGATTTTTAATTACGTATGCTTTGTACGCTAAACGATTTTATTTTCAAATAGATACTGCATGTACCGTGTAATACTGTGATAAGTGAACTGAGACAATGCTTAAAAATGTCTTAATTATTGTGTACTCGAGCGAGACGAAATTGACAAGCAAATAATGACGCTTTTTTAAATTATATGCAAAATGAATAATCTTTAAAAAAAGTTTTATTTTATTTTAAAATATTATTGGATTTGGTCGAGAGTTATTCCGAGGTCGGCTTCGGGTAATTTGGTGAAGCAATTAATTTTTTTGCTTTTTTTTAATATACGATTTACGAATTCAGTAGATATCGAATTGCATAATAACACTTTTAAATTTTTCAATGTGGAGAAACCTATTATATTTGTTTTTTTCTATTAACTAAAAAAACATTTTTATTTTTATTTATTTATTAAATTACACATTATGGTCAAAAACGTCATGTAATCCCGAAAAAAGGGGTGGTTGTTTTAGTACGATAGAAGCTCGAGTGTTGTACAACTTTCTTTTAATTAGGTAATTTTACGTCTTGAGAAGATAATGTTTCAACATCAGCTTTTGCAATTCAGAACGAATAATTTTAAATGGCCCAGTGAACATAATATCGTCAACCGTCAACGGCTTTTTCTTTTTAAACTATTATTAAGTTTCTGTTGATTTATTTGTTGTTTTGATATTTCTGGATGATTGCGATCATCACAACTACCTATCCAAATAAATTATCATTAAATGTCGACAAACAAATGCACATTTTAATTGTGTAAGACGAACGTTGAATAAAATTTTTAAGAAATATGTAAAACTACATTTGAATACAACAATCACACTTGATGTTTTATTTCTTTTGCTTTTCATAACAAACATATTTATTGAATTGAAAAAATACACACAAATTGACTTTGCCCTGCACACGATCTATGATCAAAATTCAAAATGCACACTGGCTGCTACGAATATTTTCTACGTCGTAGATTATTACTCATCTTTAAATTGCTTTGCTGATTAGAAATAAACATAATATGCTAAGTACTATTCAAAAATACTCAAGCCAATAAACGTTTCAAAAATACCTGAGTCACAATTTACTGAGTTTATAACTGTGACCTTTTTTTGGTTACACAATTTATCGACTACGATTCAGATCGGTGTCACACTGTTTGGCAGTACAGGTGTTTTTCACGTAGACAAATCGAAGCTGGCTTAGAAATCTGCCCTAGTGCTCAAATATAAATAATTTAAATCGTCCGGTCTCATATTATACCCTTCACTAGTTGACCCTAAAATATATAAACTGCAGTAATTTTGTGAAGCGTATAGAAGCTGTTTAGCTGTAACAAAAAAAGGTATGTTAAAAAAGGACGGACCATATAACAATGAATAAACTACAATATTATATTGCATTTTTCTTATACATATATAACTAGAAGATAAAAATTTAAATGATAACAGATAATATAACATGAACAATATTTACATTCAATCAAAATTAAGCAAGTCAGTAAAATTAATGAATTTGAGCTAGTTAAGTTAAATCAATAATGTTAAGATGGTTTAACTATAAGTTATTAGTTAACAAACAATATACTTAACTGTAAAAGTTAATCAAGAAAATTTAACATTTAACTCGGAAAAAAAAATGTCATTCCTTCATTTTTTTTATTCACCGATAGATTTACTCAAAACGTATAGTAATATTGTGTATTTTATTGTGTAACTTTAAATTTATTTCAATTATAACAAAAGATTTCATTAAAAATGTAAACTATACTATTCATTTTTATTGCACACTAGCAACTATAGTTAGACGTTTGTGTCAACTACATTTTTATATTACAGAATATTTATTTGTGTATTTGAATTCAAAATAGTTTTATATACAGTGACCGAGCAAAAAAATTATGAATTAATTAATTATAATTAATGCTAGGATGTTTATGATTTTGCATGCGTCTTTTTAGGTTATGCTATTGCGCGAATTTTAGATAGACATTTTTTTCATGATTTGATTCAAATATCAAAATTTAATTTTGTATAAATTTGCATTATCTGAAATTTAGCGTGTACATGTTTTGGCTTTTTTCGATACAAATAATAAAGGAAAAACGTGTACTTGTAATTATAATAATAATTATACATATTTTTTTAAAAACCTTCAATTTTCATTAAATAATTAAAATATAAAAATGTTTAATGCAAATTTTAAAATTTTTTATTGCGTAGGTGCATACATATTTATTTATTTTTTCAGTGCATAAAGTTTTTTAACCTAGTTATAACTTATTAGTTATAGACAATATGTAAAAGTACAGTTTTAGATTGATCCAATATTTTCAACTGGAAATAATTAAGTTGTTACAAAGGATTGTTTAATTAGTGAAGTTATTAAGTTAATTAGAAAATTAACAAACAAGTAAACTTTAAAAGTTTAAAAATGATTTATTTATATAGTTAAAACCAATATTCTTTTGGTAGTTGGTTTGAAATTAGTCGTCTGTCTTTTTTAATAATACTCCGATTTATACATTGTTGGAGTGCAGAATTAACCTCCGTTAAATTTTATGAAAAGCTTTTGGATATGAGTAATTGTAGGGTTGTCGATTGGAATAATTACATGCGCGAAGTCTGTACGATAACAATTAGTCAAAATCAACAAATACAAATAGACAAATCTACGAGAGTATGTTTTCAAAAAGGAAGAACTATGCTGGAGGGATATTACCACAACAGTGGATACTTGGAGGCATTTGTCGTGAAACAAAGGAGACATTTTTAATACTAGTTCCTAATCGTTCAAAGGAAACGCTTTCAACTGTAATAAAACAATATATAAAAGTAGGTAGGTAGGTGCAACCATATATTCAGACTGTTGGCGTGGATACGATACACACGAACTAACCAGAGTCGGATATACGCATGGTACAGTCAATCACACTCATAACTTTGCTGACCCAGTTACTGCAGGGGTCCATACTCGGCGTATTGAACGTGTTTGGGGCTCAGCTAAATGGACAAATAAAAAACATAGGGGAACCAGACGCGAGACGCCATCATTTGGAGTCCCATTTGGCGGAGTTTATCTGGAGACAAAACATCGAAGGAGAACCATTTGATAACTTAGTGACAAATATTTCCGAAAATTGGTTACCAAAAATAGAATTTTTAACTAAACGCAACTGTGATAATTTTTTTTTTATACATACGTAATATTTAATATCTTGATGATATTTTTAATATTATAATTTTTTTGTGATAATTTTGATGACATTATACTAAAATTAATACAATATACATTATTATGTAAATATAATATAATATTATTCATGTGTTTTATGTATTAAAATATAGAATTATCTGGATAGTACTTTAGTAGTCGAGATAACAGATTGAGTAGTCACTAGACGCGGTAGCCGCGGCATCGAGAGGTAGTAGAGATAACAGAAAAGTACTCCGAAAACTTAATAAATAATAATGTCGGATATATAGAACACACCTATATCTTGAAAACTTAAATAGTTTAAAAAAAAGCTTAAAGCCTGTATATTATTATAACAAAGTTAATAAATAGGCAGATATATCTAGGTAAAGGTAGGTACATAGTTAAAGGTAGGCACTAGGCACGTAGGTATAGGTAAATAAAATATGGGTAATAATGAAATTAAATCTGTCATGAAAAATATTTATAATAATATTAATTAAAATAAAATAATAATTGTAATTTGATCGCTAGATAGCTCCACTATATGCAGTATATGTAATATATTTGAATAGGTATGTTGTGTAACTGTATTACTTATTTTATATAGGTAATTAAAGCGAGTTAAAAATGATGACAGTATTTAAATAACATGTAAATTTAAAGAAAATTGAATACCCTATGAAAAACAACTCAATCTCATCACACATAATATTTGGTTGAAACTTTGGGAGTAGTTTAAAAGTTATTGCATCAAATTTTCATAGGGGAAGACTTTCAGACTTTTTTAAGGTTTTTAGACAAATTGGTTTTTTTGTGATAATTTATATCAAATTACATCCGATAGAATCTGACACCTCATTTCTCAATTATTTTTTAGTACTAAAAAGTCACTATAAATCACAAAAAATACATATTACAATTATTAAAATGCATTTGTATTAGGATAAGTCACCCCATTATCATTATTAACCTCTCCACAGGATACATATTACCATTGAGTATAGATATACTCAATGATATTACTATCATACACGGAAGATAATTTTTTTTAACTTAAATGACAGTTCAGATTTGTTCCATTTCTGAGTAGCATTTGAACCACATTAGCAACAAACTAATTATACCTACAACGTTTTACTTTGCGATATTTTTTCGACTTAACAAAAGGTGACGACTAACACGAACGTTTGTAAATATAATAATACAGGTAGTAGAATTCAAAAATATGATTAACTCG